AAAGACTGGTGGACACAGCATATCTGAGAACATGAAGCAGTTAGACCAGATAGAGCATTCACTGTTAGAAGATCTAAACACCCAAGACAAGACATTTGATGATTACATCACTTATCTTAATAACCTTGCCAAAGAGCTCCACAGATGCCTGTCCTCTACAGAAACCCAGAAATTAATGTCGGAGAAGAAACCAAAGATCCGATCCATACCAGAAGACAACAAAACCAGTCACACCAGGATTTACTGCTGGTCAATACAGCAAAAGTGATGTCACCAAATTACTTGGTAAAATAAGTGTCACCAACAATAAAGCTGAGAAGAGAGAAATAAGGCCCATTGAAAGTGTCTACAATACAGCAATGAAACCTACACATAAACAAATGAAAGAAAAGAGAAAAAAATCTGACGTTAAACAAACATTGTCTTTATCTGCCTCTGTCACCATGATCAGGGAGTTTGATGTACCAGGTGTTGATGATGTATATCATGTATCACTAGATCAATCAGACAGACTTGTATCAGTGATGGAGCCAGGGGTAATCTTGTCCAAACAGATCTACAGGGGAATGTGATACAGAAGATAAAAACCAGTGGTAGAGATGAAGGTTACCACACAGTGACACAGGACAGGGATCTGATCTTTACAGACCAAGATAAGAAAGTCATCAATAGGATAACACAGGATAATAATATCCCGGAATTCATTAAAACTGGAGACTGGAGACCACTCAGTATACACTCCTCCCACATCAACGGGGACTTACTGGTGGGGATGAGGAAGGATGCAGAAGGTAAAGTCACCAGGTACAACAAGACAGGAAAAGAACTACAGAACATACAGAAGATAACAAAGGACAAGGACTGTAGTGAACACCACACTACATCACAGAAAACATCAATGGAGATATCTGTACATCAGACTTTATTAATATGTCAGTGGTGGTGGTGAATAAATTGGGGACAACACAGGTTCTGCTACACAGGTCAGGAGTCAAGGTTCCGTCCCTGTGGAATCTGTACTGATGTCCTCGGTCACATCCTTGTGTGTGATAGTTATCGTGACACTGTTTCCGTGCTTGATCAGGACGGACAGTTCTTGTCTCTATTACTCACACAACAACAAGGGGATACCTTCCCAGTAGTGTGTGTGTATGGATGATGAGAACAATCTCTATGTGGGACAATATGGCTCCAACACACTGACAGTGTACAAGTATCTACAGTGATTATTGTTCTGTCATAAACACACACAGCATGACATACTGAGTATCAGAATAAATTATGCACTTTATTATACCCATCATTTATGTTACTTTATTCCAGTTGATGAAGAAGCATATATCACATTATTTTGTACATTTATGTGTAACCAATATTCATCAGTATTATTAATTATGAAGTAGTTATAAACTTTTAGTTTCTAACATATATGTAAGTTAAATCTTACACTTTTTTTTACATCTTAATTCATTTTGATTGTTAACAAAAATTATTCAATGAAATTTAATTATTAAACAATTTAAAAAAATTCTTGATATTATTTATATAGTCTTCTGCATTCTGCAAACAGTGAAATGTAGCATTTATTCCTAACATTGGCTTGCATGCAATTTTACCTGAAATAAAGTTAAACAGGTTTATTAGATATTTCACTTATCATTTACCTTATACAATGTATATAAAAGAGGCATGAAACTACAGGGGTCCTTTTTACACAAAGAACTTATGACTAAGAGTGACGACCAAAAACATCAGATCCCTGATGACTGTAACATTTTGCAAAATTAATGATTCTGCTTAAAATTGCTGGTGTAAAAATATCTTACTACATTCCTTTTAGAAAGATTAAAATCATTTTCAATATGTTATTTAGAAATCTATACGAAGAACTAAATTTGGTCTTAAGTCGTAAGTTCCTTTGTAAAACAGGCCCCAGATTTACATTTCTTTAAGATTGAATTGCTATTTAAGGAATTAATTTTTAAGTTCTTTATACATGTACATGTGCTTAGTGAAGAAATGGGGAACATTTATTTTTTCTTATCTGATTTCTTGTATAAAACAAGATGTGTTTGAAAAACACTATGCGCCCGGTGGCTAAACAAAATTCTAAAAAAGCTATTTTTACCATATATGTCACAGTCAAGGTCATTGACCTTGGTGTCATTTGAGCATAAAGGTCACAGTCAAGGTCACAAGGTCATTGACCTTTGTGTCATTTGAAAGAGATTAATTAGTGGAGTATGCATACTTATTATGCAGTCTCTGTCTTGTATGGTTCGAAAGTTACGGCAAAGATATGAAAAATATTTTTAGCATACAGATCACAGTCAAGGTCACAAGGTCATTAACCTGAGAGTCATTTGAAAGGGCTTAATTAGTGAAAGATGCATACCAAATATGAAGTCTCTATCTTTCACAGTTCAAAAGTTATGCCGAAGATTAAAGTTTGCAGATAAAAAGGTATTTTTAGCATATAAATCACAGTCAAGGTCACAAGGCCATTGACCTTGATGTCATTTGAAAGAGCTTAATTAGTGGAGTATGCATACCAAATATGAAGTCTCTATCTTTCGTGTTTCAAAAGTTATGTCTAAGGTTAAAGTTTGCAGACAAACAAACAAACAGACAGACAAACAAACACACAAAAACAATACACGCCCCGGATCTATTAATCCGGGCGCATAATAAATCAAAATGCCCATTTGTGCATTCGATTTGAATCGGTCTGAATATGACTATCTACCCCCACCCACCCCCCCCCCCCTCAAAAAAAATATCTGCATGAAAGATCTAACCCATGGCAAATATCCTGAAAACCTCAATTCAAGTACTTATAGTGCCCTCCCCCCCCCCCCCCCCACGGAATTTTCATTCTTGAATCTTTTTTTTTTGAAAGAGGAAATTTTACGTGCACTGGAGTTCAACCTCCTTCTCAATTAGTAATTTTTACCTGCAATTGAGATTTATTCTCCATATCACACAAAGTCCAGTAGCTATGCATTGTTCAAAGGCGAACCAGGGCCGCGCGCCGGGCGCGCCCCCCCCCCTCACGTTTGAATTTTTTTGTATATAAAATTTGTATGTACATTATCCTAAAATCAAGAAAAAACATCCCTTATTTGTAAGAAATTAATTGTCAGCTTACTAAAGGACCTTGTCTTAGAACACATTGGGGGCTTTAGTAAAGCCACAAGACCCCTTAGCTGCCTTCTACTGCGCCCCCGCCCCCATCCGGTTACGATATTACTGGATCCGCCACGGTTGTTTACAGATTGGCTGTATTTAGGTCTTCAATACTTGTTACATGTATATACAGATGTATATAAGTAAATTACATTACATATTAGTAGCCATTTTGACATTGGGGGGGGGGGCAAACTTACCGAAAAAATGGGCATTTATCAATATTGATTTGTGGTCATATCCTTTGGAACCATCCAAGCTATATTGCTGGGGTTATGGGGAGTGAAATGATTAATCAAAAACCCTTCGCTTGCTGTAATGCTCCTGAGTAACAGTGGCGGATCCAAGAATCTTGAAAGGGGGATGGGTTGGGTTCGGGGCAAGTACTTGACAACTATACACACATAAATGATTTTTTAAATCATTAAATCTTGTGTAAATTTTGGACACAAAAGAGGGGGATCCCTGCTCCATCCCACCCCCTCTCCGAAATCCACCGGTGAGTAATATTTGAATGATCCCGGTATAAAAAATACTAATGTAATCGTATTATAGACACCGCTCATCAGTGGTTGAGTAAAGGGGCTGGAGTTACTGCCAAAGAAGCATTTTTTAAGTAGCAATCCGTATTTTTATACCTATCCGATTATGTTTACAGTTTAGCTTTATATTTAAGGATAAAAATATACTCTTAGCTTGAAATTTGTTTAAGACAAATAGTTCATCAAGTGTTATTAATATTTAAAAGTCTGTATCAGAAAATGTCATAAAAAACAACAGCAGTCCATAATATTAAAATAAGTGCGGGAAACGAAATTGACAACTTGAATTATATTTGGTGAGTAGGAAATTCAACTTTTTGATCGAATTTTGATTATTCGTGCAGTAAGGAAGTTTCCATTTTTTTCTTAAATCGAGTAAAATGATAAGTTAAGAGTTTTAAGTTTTGTTAAGTGGTCTTCACATCATATTAACTGTAAATACGTCTCTAACAATTATTTTCACTGGGGAAATAAAACTTGTTGGTCTTGGGTTTTTAAAAATGCTCCCTTTTACCCCCCCCCCCCCCCCAATACTTACATATGTCGAGCGGAAGCTCATTGTTTACTCAAATTTCACACTACAAACTCGATACAGTGTCAATTCTCCGGGACTATGATATGGAGTTGTAGCATAACGTAATACTGGGCTGTCTGGAGCTTGTTCATGAAAAGAAAAAGAATTGAGTTTAAGTTACTTTGCAGAAATATTTGTACTAAATAGGAATTACATGTATACATGTACGATAAAAAAACTTCATTGATGGTAAAAATATAATATAATCTGATTTATATAAATCAGATTATGTTTTGCATGGACACCATGTATTTCTACTAAACTATATATAGTTTAGTAGGAATACATTGTGTCCATGCAAAACATATATTTCATTCATTTGTTTAGAATTTATTCAAATAAAATATGTTCAAACGAATTCTTAATGCACAAAAAAAATGTTTGAATGATAAATTAGAGTATCTATTAGAGAATATCTTGCTTTAACATATTTTTCAAACAAAACAGTTTAATATAAGCATATTTATTTCTAAAAAAGTTTATTTAAAATAAACACTTTTACAAATGAATTTATCAGTCATCTTATTCATGTTTTTCCATTAATGTGATATTTTATTTTAATAAATCATTTAATAATTAGAATTATTCGCATTTAAAGGTTAAACACATGATTACAGTACATAGATTCAAGGTTTCAAAGACATTTATAATACCGTACCTTTCATTCACATGTATTTTTAAAATATATGTGATACAAAGTATATTAAAATTGGCACTTAAAATTTGTAATAAATTTTTAAAAATCAAATTAAAGAAGATGCACAATATAGAAAATTAAAAAAAGAAAAAAAAAGAACATACAAATCGTTTACCATTTACAAATAAAAAAAATGAAGAAAGATTTTTTTATTTCTTCATTTATTATTAAGGACAGATGATACAAACAATTTTTTTTCTTTGAAAAAGATTTAATATCATGTCACAAGTTTTGAAATGTGGATGGTTCTTAGAATTTTTTCTCCTAAGAACTGGAATATGAAAAAATCTTGGAAAATATTAATTATTAATTTTAAAAAAATAATTTAGAAAAAATGGCATTAATTTATTCAAAATGTATAAAAAGTAAATTTAAACCTATTTCTCGTGGTTAATCTTAAATAGGCTATAGGTCACCTGTAATTAATTTCTTTTGTTCTCTCCATCCCCCTACCTGTACACCATTCCCACCTAGCCATAACCAGTCACCTGTAACATTTTCAGATTTTTGGCTAAGTGGGAAGACACCGTTCACACTAGCCTACACGTAAGCAGAAAGAAATATACGCCACTGTTCATGGGAACAGGTAGAAATAGTAGAATGTTATATTTGATGAAATTTAAGCAATAATGTAACCCTCTCCAGTACTAAGTATTTTAATCTGATGTTTTCACGAGACAGAAAAAAAAGAATTAAGAACAGTCTGACTGAGATAAAACATTTTATACTAGCTCCTTTTTATTTGATTGTCGCGTGAAGACTGAAGCTAGATAATATGGACCACCCATCCCCCTCCTTCTGAAAAAAAGTCTGGATCCTTGCATGTTTTATACAATGAACCGCTTTAGTTCAGTAAACTTTTTAAAAAAATATATTTTAGATAAATCAAATCAACATGGTTCGAAAAATCTGACATGTAAAATATCACAAACGTAAAAAAGCCAGGAAAACGTCAGATTTTTGAAATTCCCGGATTAAAAATGTCCGTACGATATACTTCGCTAACTACAATTTATCTGGAACGATGGGTTCATTTTCTCTGATTTTTTCCATTTGAGTATTATTTTTATAATTTTAACAGATATTCATGTAGCTTTTGTAATTATGATTATAATTGATTTTAAACGATTGATTGCCTTTTTCTGCAACAGACATTCAACAGCTATTTAAAAGTCAAACAAAGCGAAAGTATATACTTTCATTTTCTATCTAAAAGTGTAATTTGTAAACCATGGCTACAGGTTTAGGAAATTTAAGTGGAAAAGTGGCTCTAATCACAGGTAATTATACTTGTTATTCAAATTTCAATTCTTTAAATATGTAATAATGTTTCTGTGACATGTATTTTATAAATAGTTATCTACTGACGAGAGTGCACCAATCAACTGCTGAAAGCAGCTGATGGACAGTGATGGATTTATCGTCTGTATATTTATATAAGCCTTAACTGCAGAACTGTAGCTCTCCAAAAAATATATATATTGACCTACTGGAGTGCCACCCATTGAAAAAAAATTGTATATTTATTGCGCACAAAAAGGTTCGGTTCTAGATAAATTCTGGTTTCCAAATTCTTACCCCAATTGCAAAAAAGCTAGATTTCAAAAAGTCCAAAAGTGCCACCCATTGAAAAAAATTGTATATTTATTGCGCACAAAAAGGTTCGGTTCTAGATAAATTCTGGTTTCCAAATTCTTACCCCAATTGCAAAAAAGCTTTTTCAAAAAGTCCATTTTTCTCCTCTGTCAATTACTCGCGTAGTTTACATCTGAACGAAGTGCATTGGATCAATTATCTTCCAGACCAAAATGGCAGTATAAATAGGCAAAATTTTTGATAATCTCAATTCCAGGGCCATGGGTGGGCTATTTAAAACAACTTATTTGAATGTTTTGTTGTGGAAACAGTGAAAATATGTTAGGAACATATTTTGAGTTGACAGTTTAAAAAACAACACACTTTTTTGTGGGCAATAAGCATACAGTTTTTTCAATGGGTGGGACTGTAGCTTTCCGGCTGTCAATGTGTATTTTTCGGAGAGTTACAGTTCTGCAGCTATGTAAGCCTGTAAACATCCTGCATGAATCAGTCTATTTTTGCCATTTTATGTCTTTATTTTTCAGGCGCCAGTTCTGGTATCGGGGCAGCGACTGCCGTGTTGCTGTCCAGGCTGGGGGCAAGTGTGGCACTGACGGGCAGAAAGGAGGAAAACCTGAAGAAAGTCGGAGAGCAGTGTCTAGATAAAGTACGAACTGAAAGAAAGACAATAATTTAAAGTAAATTCAGACAGCAATACTTAGAACTCAATAGCTGGACTGAGAAAACACTCTGAAATATCCAAAGATTAAAAGTACAACATGTATATCTAGCATGTGGAAATTTTAGGTAAATAAAGTATATAAAGAATAGGAGTAAAACATCACAAAACTCCCTAACTCCGTTCTAGGGTATAATCTGCTCCGTTCCATCACTTTTTCACTTTTGGGAAACTCTGAGCTGCTTGTAAACAAATGCGATTGTGACCTCATTTTTTTGCATGCTGGAAATCTACGATCAAATTCCAAGCTACTATAACAGCATCGTCGCAATTAACCACGGCCAAAATGTACGATCCTCTTCCATTCTGGCCGTGGTTGAATGAGAAGAGAATATTTCGTAGATCATTAAAATATTGACCAATGCGAGTAAAGCATAGTCGGATAATGAACTTAGGTGCAACCTTTCTGCAGTGTACAAAGTATATCTTGTATACTGTTGATGTCAATTGTTGATTTCAACTGCGATTGAAACAAAACTTGTCAGTGACTGAATATGACATCACAATAGCAAGGTGTAAACCTTCAAGATTACGACACTTTTTACAACCAAGCAGCTATGGGTAGGAGATAGCTGTATATGCGGACTCTGGACCATGGCTTAAGGGTACTTACCACAAACAAAAAATGGATGCGCGGGTTGATATATATTTTTTGACTGATTTTGATTTGTAATGACATAAATAATAAATCCCTGAAATATAAAGAAATCGTAGGTTTTCCCTGGTGTTTAGATTTGAGATTTTATTTTGCCTTCTATATAATTCCATACAAAATTTTGCACAATTTTTTAACTTGATGACAAAATCTTATAAAATTCTCCCTTTCTACTTGGTAAACATTATTCAGGTTGTCAATTTAAATGTAAATCTATGAGAAATCATGCTGATTTCTGAAAAAAGTTTGTTTGTGTTATTTATCCTTAAGATGATGCTATAACAGCTGTATAGTTCAAAAACTACCCCAGGATGCTTCCACATGAGGATTTTTAAAGATTTTTCCTATACATTTCAATGTTAAACTTGGATTCTCTATATCGTGGCCCCACCTATCCCTGGGGGTCATGATTTGAACAATTAAAAAAATCTACACTACACCAGGATGCTTCCACACGTCAGAATTTCAGCTGTTCTAGCCCAGTGGTTCTTGATAAGAAGGTCTTTAATTTTTTTCTGATATATTTCAATGTAAAACATGAATTTCCTTTAGTGGCCCTGTTCTACCCCTGGGTGTCATGGTTTGACAACCCCAGGATGCCTCCGTACAAGTTTCCGCTTTTCTGGCCCAGCGGTTCTTGAGAAGAAGATTTTTAAAGATTTTTAGCTCACCTGAGCCAGAGACTCAAGTGAGCTTTTCTGATCACATATTGTCCATCGTGATTCTTCAAATCATGACCCCCGGGGGTTGGGCGGGGCCACAATAGGGAATCAAAGCTTAACTTAGAAATATATAGAAAAAAATCTTTAAAAATCTTCTCAAGAACTATTGGGCCAGAAAAGCTGAAACTTATGTCGAAGCATCTTGGGTATGTAGTGGAGCTTCTAAATGTTTCAAATCGTGACCGCAAAAATGTGTTGTATAATCCTGTTTATTATATACCCTCCCTTTTTTCAAAATAAACAAGATCTAGATAGGATAAAAACGGCATCATCAGAAAGACAGTGTATGGAACGCCGTCACTGCCTTATAGCAGAACACAACAATTGCATTGTGTCAACCTTACATTACATTATGTCAACTCTTTATGACATTATCCCACAATACTATTGCATTATGTCAACCTTCCATTATATTATGTCAACTCTTTATGACATTAGCCCACAGTACTATTGCATTATGTCAACCTTCCATTATTTTATGTCAACTCTTTATGACATTAGTCCACACTACTATTGCATTGTGTCAACTTTTCATTACATATTGTTAACTCTTCATGACAATTACACACATTACTATTGCGTTATATCAAATTTCAATTACATTATGTTTAGTCTTTATGGCATTAACTTGCACTTTAATTACATTGCGCCAATCTTCCATTGCATTATATCAGCTCTTTATGATATTAAGTCAAAACAATTTTACGTGGTGTAAAAATGTTTTTATATATTTTCAACTCATTATTACATTATGTGCACTCTCTACTATTTGGTCTAAGTAGTTCAATACATGATGTGAATTTATCTTTAACTCAATATCAAGTCGTTATAATACGATGTCAGAATTTCATTACATGATCTGAAAAAATTGTCACATGTGGTCAATTCTTTTACTACTTTATGCCCTCAATATGCTACATGACGACGTGAATCAATTTCATGATGTGAATTTGCCCTTACTTTTTGACAGATCGTTATTACGTTATGTCATTGTGTCTTTACATTGTGTCAAAAATGCTAAGCCTCTTGTCAGCATACATGTATCTTAGGCTATTTCATCTCATATCAGATGTGAAAAGCTCATGTCATACTGTGCGCACTCTTCTACATTATGTCGATTCACTATTACGTTATGCGAACACGGGTATCCTCGGACTTTATATGAGCATAACGTATTTTCCGCATTCCGAAAGCACTAAAAATGGCGGGAGAGAAAACTCATAAAATAAATTCTCAGCGATTTGGGAATTGCATCTTTAAATGAAAACATTAAGCGAAAAATGATTGACAATCTTGAAACGTGCAAAGCCTTAACACTGCGACTGTGAATTAAAGCCACGCGTCGAAATTCAATGGCGTTTACTTTTATCTGATAATTAAATAAATCAAATATGAGTCGTGCAGCATTTTTTTTTCTTTTGAATTGCTTTTATAACACACGTGCACTGGCGGGTTGGGGAGGGGGGGGGGGAGGGGGGCAGAAATCCCGCCCTACCATCTTTAGTCACCAAAATATACATAAAATTAATAAATTTATTAGTTTTACGTTGTAGGTCATTGCATTACTTTCACATTAAGTTTAGCTGAATTAAATTGAAAACTTTTTCTATATTAAACTATAAAGCCTGCCGGAGAGTTTTTCCGCTTTCCCCCTTTGGTCACCAACTCTATACCGCCCCCTTCTTTTTTCAAGATTCCCATATGCGCCACAAATATGTGCCCATGCATGCTCAATTGATTTAGATGAGGGACTGGTAGATTTTTGTAACAGAATTCTGGTCTTGGAATGGTTGAAAAAATTACAGTAACTAATTCTGTGACATAGCATTTATTTGAAAAAGGATGTCAGCCAGAAAAAAAAATTATTTACCCGAAAAAACTTGACAAGCCAAAAAAATTTGTCTAAGCCCGAAAATCCTATTTCGGAGAGGGGGTACGACTTCGATCAGTCCTATATTTTTTCAGTTATACTACATTACCCCTAGTGGACTATACTTCAACAATCAGTGGGGGTGGGGGCTGTACTTTCAATGAACATTACATTTTCTAAAACAAGGTTATGTCTGGGAAAGAGGGGGGGGGGGGGGGGCTGATATTATGTGTCTATAATTCGTCCTACTCAATCGGGACCCCCCCCCCCCCCCTCTTACCAGTCATTAAAACACGGTCGTCAACATTCATCATACTAGATATGCAGCTTTCAGATAATGTAAATGTATTTTCACATCAGGTAATGAACTTTTGGAATCAACATGATAAAGAGTTAACACAATATAAGGATATTTTTTAAATCACATATGATAAGAAAGAGTTGACATAACGTAATTATATATCCACATCTCGGAATGGAGTTTTGACATAATGTAATAAAGTGTTGATATAATATAAAGATATGTTCACATTATGTTACACACTTTTTACACCATGTAATAAAGCACTGACATAAAGGTAAGATGTGTTCACCTCACATCATGATGCTCTCGCCGTAAAATAAAGATAAATCCATATCACGTAATAATGCTTTGATATAATAGACATAAACATTCTCAAAAAGGAATGGACTTTTGACTTCATGTAATGATAAGTTTAATTATAAAACACAATTTACTTGACGTAATGCAATTTTGACCTCACATATTAAAGAAATGAAATAATATAAACAAACATTCATTTCACGTAATAAAGATTTAACACAATGTAAACATATTTTCACTTCACATAATGAACTTCCGACTTCAAGTTATAAAGTGCTGACATAATGGAAGAATGTGTTTACTTCATGTAATGCAGCATTGACATGATGTAAAGATATTTTTACATCACCCCATAAAAAATTGATATAACGTAAAAATATGTTCACATCACGTAATGATAGATTGACATAATGAATGCATAGATTTATGCTATAAGGCAGTGATGGCGTTCCATACAGTGTATAATTGACCTGAATACAATAACCTTTTTAGCAATAGCATTTTTTATTGTTTAAATCCTATTTGGTTTACTGTGTTATTTTTCAGCCTCTGTTGATACCTGGTGATCTGGTCAAAGAAGAAGATACAAAGAGAGTGTTGGACACCACTATATCACACTTTGGAAAACTTAACATTCTGGTAATTAGGACATGAATTTTATGTAGAGATAATGAACAGTATTTGGGCTCAGAAGTCCTTTAAACATTACAAATATGAGCAAAGCAATTACGGACCTCCAGAAAATGAGAGGTGGGTCAGGGATCAGGTGCCATGGAAGAGTGAGTTTCCTCTGCTGACCGGGCACACCAACCACGTGCTTCTTGTCATGTTTGAAAAAAAAAAAATGGATAAATCCATGATTAAATTTCTTTTTAAAAAATTAAACCCATTTTCAGGTTTATGAAAAATAGAAAATTACTTTCAAAATTCCAATTTGGTCTAAGATGTACATATAAATGTAAATTCTTAAAAATATGGGGTCCAGGATAAATATAAATGCCTTTCCAGGTGAACTGTGCAGGAATTCTGGAGTTGGGCAGCATAGAGAACACATCTCTGGAGCAGTACGACAGAATCTTTGACATCAATGTCAGGTATGGTGGCTCCCCATGTTTAAATACTTTTTAGTAGATTCCTAATTATATGCGAGGAGTTAATTTCCGCATTATTTCGCGAGAAGCATCACTCACGAAATAATATTACTCGCTTTTTAGCTCTTCTGAGCCAAAGGCTCAAAGAGCTAATGCTATGGCCATTTGTGCGGTGTGCGGTGTTTTGTCTTTTGTTTGATGGAAAACACCATGTGCTTTTTCATTCCATTTATTAACAACTAAAACTAACTTTAACAACAAAAGAGTTCCAATCACATTTTAGATAAGTTGTACATAATGTAACATCTCCCCCCTTAAAAAAAATAGTGTAATTCACTCAATTACTTAAAGAAAGAGAATACTTGATTAATATATAAATCATTGAAATCAATTAACATCACATAGCATTAATGAAGCAGTTTTTTCACTACTGGACTAAATTTCTGAACACAAATTGGAAATGGCTTTGCCTAAACTGATAAATGACTAGATAATCTATGCATGCAGAAATGTCTACAGTTATTTAACATTCCTCAATGAGTCTTTTCGGAGGGCCACATTGTCTCCTAGGACGCACTGTTTCACAATTTTGATCATCACGAGTTCGGATATTTTCGTCTCCAGTCGCTTCTACTTCATGATCACTCGGTTCTGGTTCATTGCGCGGATAACTAGTCGGATTTTCGCAAGTCTTTAGAATTTCTTTTCGATTTCTGCGATATTCTGCATTTCCGGTTGACACAATATATGATCCTTGATCGATTTGCTTTTGGATTGTTTCCCGCTCCGTCCATGCTGTATCATCTGGATTTCTTAATCTGACCACGTCTCCTTCCTCTAATTTTGGTAACTGATGAGTTGATCTGTCGTAGTAATACTTTTGTCTCCCTTGACTAGCTTTTCTCTGTTTGATGACATCTTCTCTGTTAGATGTATATAGATGTTCTTCTAACATAGGTAAGTCGGTCCTAAGTTTTCGGTTGTACAGAATTTCAGCTGGTGATTTTCCACAGGATAACGGTGTTGCACGGTAAGCAAGGAGACTAAGGTAAAAATCTTCTCCTGATTTCTTGAGTAGATTCTTGATGATACCGACAGTTTTCTCTGCTAATCCATTAGACTGTGGGTGTCGAGGACTTGATGTTTTGTGCTGGAAGTTGTAGTTTTCTCCAAATTTTCGAAATTCTTCCGAGGTGAACTGATGTCCATTATCCGAGATGATGATCTTAGGAATGCCGTGTCCTGCAAATATGAACTTCATGGCTTTGATTACCGCTGTACTTGTTGTCTTCTTTAGTGGACAAACTTCAGGGTAATTCGAGTAGTAGTCACATATGACTAGATAATTTTTGTTCTTGCACACGCACAAATCCACTCCAATTTTTGCCCACGGGTAATTTGCTGTTTCGTGTGAAAGCAATGGTTCTGCTGTTTGTTTTGCTCTGTGTTTCAGACACTCGGAGCAAGATTTTACCTTTTCTTCGATACTCTGATTCCTTCCTGGCCAATACATGATTTGTCGGGCTCTTTGTCTGCATTTTTCAATTCCCAGGTGTCCTGTGTGAATTTTCTGCAACATTTCCTTCCTAAGGGAGTTTGGAATGACTATTTTGGTACCTTTGAGTATAAGGCCATCTGCGTAGCTGAGTTCATTCCTGATATTCCAGTATTCTTGTATCAAGGAGGGTAAGTCCCATTTCTGTTTAGGAAATCGGTCCCTGATGGTCTGCTTCAGTTTTTGAAGTTGCTCATCCTTAACTGTTTCTTGACGTATTTCTTCTAATTTTCTGTCCGACACTGAAAGGTTTGTAATTACTGAATCCACGTAAACGTCTTCTCCTGACAAATCTCCACTACACGCTGTCTGTAAATAGGCTCTTGACAATGCATCAGCTGTGTGCATGAACTTTCCTGGTGTATAAAATACCACTAGTGTATATTTCTGCAGTTGGAGCATGAGTCTTTGAATCCAAATAGGACAATCGCTCAAGGATTTCTTAAAGATGGCTTCCAAGGGCTTGTGATAAGTTTCTACTCGTACGGCTTGTCCGTATATCAATTGAAGGTAATTGCCAACATTTCTTTCTCTTTTTGAGCGTAGTTCTTTTCTGCTGTTGTCATAGCTCTCGAAGCATACGCAACAGGCATCCATTTGTTATCATGTTTTTGGAGAAGAACCGCCCCTAGGCCTGTCTTAGATGCATCTGAAGACATTCTTGTCTCTGCATCTGGGTCATAGAATTGTAGAACTGGTTCTGAAGTCAAAACTTTCTTCAGTTCTTCAAAGGATTCGTTTTCCTCTTGCTTCCACTGAAACACATTCTTCTCTTCCAGAAGGCATCGGAGTGTGTGCGTTTTGGTAGAAAGGTCTGAGATATACTTCCCTTGATAATTGACCATTCCTAGAAATCTTTGGATGTCTTGCTTATTCGTCGAGGTTGGAAACTGTTCAATTGCCCGTATTTTTCAGGGTCTGGTTTGATCCCTTTGTCTGAGATTACATCTCCTAAAAATGTCAATTCCAGCACTCCGAATTCACATTTTGATTTGTTGAGCTTTAAATTTGCTCTTCTAATAGTTTCCAGAACTTGTTTTAATCTCTCATTGTGTTCTTCAAGGGTTGCTCCCCAGACTATGATGTCATCCATGAATGATGATGTCCCCTTGAGATGCTCCAGTATCATGTGTACTGCTTTATGATATACTTCCGGTGCGGAGGATATGCCAAATGGTAAGCGTAGGAATCTGTATCTTCCAAAAGGTGTATTGAAACATGTATACATGGAAGACTGTTTGTCAAGTTTCATTTGCCAAAATCCTGACGAGGGTTCGAGCTTGCTGAAGTACTTTGCATCCTTGAAGTTTGACATTACTTCTTCCCTTGATGGTATCTTGAAGTGCTCTCGCTTAATGGCCTTGTTTAGGTCTGTCGGATCTAAGCATACTCTGAGTGTTCCATTTTTCTTTACGGGTAAGACGATCGAGCTAACCCAGGTTGTTGGCTCCTCAACCTTGCATATAACGTTAGCCTTTTCCATTCTGTCGAGCTCCTGTTTCAGTTTATCATGTAATGCAAAGGGTACTTTTCTGCAGGGATGTATCACTGGTGAAACCTTCTCGTCAAGCTGAATTCTGTGTTCACCCGGCAAACAGCCCTGTCCCTGGAATATATCATCATAGTTTTCCACAAGATCTTGGACAGTTGAGACTTCCTTTTGTTTTGGTTCCTCATTTTTGGTTACCATGTAAACTCTCTGGACAAGTCCTAGTCTGCTGCATGCACTAACTCCAATGATAGGTGTGCGCGACTCTGTTACTATTACAAAGTGCAGCTTGAAAACTTGTAGTTTTCTCATCACTGTCAACACACATGTTCCTTTAATAGGGATGGAATTTCCACTGTAGGAAGTTAGCTTGATCTTTGATGTGTGAATCTTTGGTTTGGATTTCAATTTGTTGAATAGTTCCTCTGTTATGATGTTAACCTGACTTCCTGTATCTAGTTTGTACTTTATTTCTGTTCCATTTGTCTTCAGATGTGTGAACCATTCATCAGTTTCTTCTGCTTTAGAATTCTCCATCATATACACAAAGAATTCACCTGGCCCACTTTCACTGTCATTGAGTTCGTTTATCTCATGGACTTTCTTTTTACTGGTGAAACACATTTTAGCATAGTGGTTTTGTTTACCACATTTCTTGCATACTTGTCCTACTGCCGGACAATCCTTTCCATGGTTTAAAAAATTCCCCCACATCTTTTACATTGTTCATGATTTTTCTTTTGGTATAATCCTTTGTTTACAAAAGCTTTGTTTATCTGTTTTTGTTTGAAGGGTTTTGGGTTGTGTTTACTTTTAACAGTATGTACCTCCTTGTCTTCTGGTTTTAATTCTTTCATTCGTTCCTTTGTAGCTTCTGTAGCCCTGCACATAGGTATGGCTCCATCTAGGTTAAGATCTTGTACTCTGAGCAAACGTTCTCGCAATGAATCATCTGGAACACCACATATGATGCGGTCTCTTATCAATGAATCAGTTAAATCACCAAATTCACAGTTTTTTGCTTTGGTGCGAAGCTCAGTAACGTACTGGTCGATGGTTTCGTCCGGTTTTTGCATCAGTGTGAAAAACTTGTGCCGCTCATAGGTTGCGTTTTTCTTTGGCATACTATATGCTTCAAACTTCTCAATTATCTTGTCTAACTTTTTCTTATTTACATTTTGTGCAAACTGAAAATTGTTATAGACTTCTAGTGCATCTTCGCCGATCAAATGAAGGAACAAACATGCTTTCTGGGTGGGCTTCTCTTTGTCTGCCTCTAACCCAGTCGCTTGAATGTAAAGTTCAAACCTTTGTTTGAATTTAATCCAGTTATCGGCAACATTTCCTGTCAGTGACAGTCCTTTTGGTGGGTCCAGCTTATCCATGTTAATGTCTAGGATATTTTTGACTTTCTGACACCATGTTTTGTCTTTTGTTTGATGGAAAACACCATGTGCTTTTTCATTCCATTTATTAACAACTAAAACTAACTTAAACAACAAAAGAGTTCCAATCACATTTTAGATAAGTCGTACATAATGTAACATGCGGTGTGCGTAAACTTTTTAGAATATGGGCCATAACTCAAGAACCCCTTGGCCAATCAGTACCAAATTTGTCACAGGGTATCCTTGGCCCAAGGGCTACCATTTATACTAAAATAAGGGTTGGGACCCTTAAACAAGAGGCCCAGGGGCCACAGCGCTCACCTGAGCACATCGGCTAGGAAAAAGCACATATCAGATCAGAACTGAAAGTTTACTGAGGTGGGGGGGGGGGGGGCTTGAATTTTACCCCCCCCCCCCCCCCAGGGGATCATAATTTGAACGAACTAGAATCTACACTACCTGAGGATGTTTCCATATAAATTTAATAACTAATCAAGGCTTTGAAATACTATGTTAAATTTTGATCAGTCATTTTAGCCCCACCCTACCCCCGGGGGTCATGATTTGAACAAACGTGAATCTACACTACCTGAGGATGATTTCATATGAGTTTTATCTTTCCTGGCCCAGTGATTCAGGAAAATAAGATTTTTAAAGATTTTTCCTATATATTCCTATGTAAAACTTTGATCAGCCATTTTGGCCCCACCCTACCCACGGGGGTCATGATTTGAATAAACTTGAATCTACACTACCTTAGGATAATTCCATATGAGTTTCATCTTTCCTGGCCCAGTGGTTCTGGAAAAGAAGATTTTTAAATGATTTTCCCTATACATTCCTATGTAAAAATTTGATCGGCCATTTTGGCCCCAACCTACCCCCAGGGGTCATGATTTGAACAAACTTGAATCTACACTACCTGAGGATGATTCCACATGAGTTTCATCTTTCCTGGCCCAGTGGTTCAGGAAAAGAAGATTTTTAAAGATTTTTCCTATATATTCCTATGTAAAACTTTGATTGGCCATTTTGGCCCCACCCTACCCCCTGGGGTCATGATTTGAACAAACTTGAATCTACACTACCTGAGGATGATTCCATATGAGTTTCATCTTTCCTGGCCCAGTGGTTCTGGAGAAGAAGATTTTTAAAGATTTTTCCTATGATTCCTATGTAAAACTTTGATCGGCCATTTTGGCCCCACCCTACCCCTGGGGGTCATGATTTGAACAAACTTGAATCTACACTACCTGAGGATGATTCCACATGAGTTTCACCTTTCCTGGCCCAGTGGTTCTTGAGAAGAAGATTTTTAAAAAATGCCATTAATTTTTCTCTAATTCATAATTATCTCCCCTTGGAAAAGGGCGTGGCCCTTCATTTGAACAAACTTGAATCCCCTTCACCCAAGGATACTTTGTGGCAAGTTTGGTTGAAATCGGCTCAGTGGTTCTTGAGAAGAAGATGAAAATGTGAAAAGTTTACGACAACGACAACGACAGACGACAGACAAATTTTGATCAGAAAAGCTCACTTGAGTCGGCTCAGGTGAGCTAACAAGGGGAGATAATTGGGAAAACAAAACCAAAAGTACTGGTTGCTAAAAAATCTTCTTCTCCATAACCACCAGGCAGATTTTCACCAAACTTACATACAAGGATCAGGATATGTTGAAAATTAAAATTTGCACGGGGAATTGTCCTGGGGCAAAGGGCCTGGTCTCAAGGTCACTTCAAAGTTGACCTAAATTTACAATTAATAAAAACATGTATATTTTGCTTACTATAAGGACTAGGATCATCAAATCTTGTAAGTTGATGCACCTTAGGACATTACATCATGTTAACTCAAAAGTAGGTCACGGTGACCTACTTTTTAAATTTTGCGGGGATTTGTTTTCAAATTGATTTGAAGGCATATTTTGGACACTTTAAGGCCTATGATCATCAAACTTATGTCAGTTGATGCTTCTTGGGTCTTCAAACAATGTCAACTTAAAAGTAGGTCACTCTGACCTACTTTTTGAACTTTATGATTGATTGATTGATTATATACTGTTTAACGTCCCTCTCCAGAATATTTCACTGATATGGAGACGTCACCATTGCCGGTGAAGGGCTGCAAATTTAGGCCTATGCTCGGCACTCAGGGCCTTTGAGCAGGGAGGGATCTTTATCGTGCCACACCTGCTGTGACACGGGGCCTCGGTTTATACGGTCTCATCCGAAGGACCGCCCCATTTAGTCGCCTTTTACGACAAGCAAGGGGGTACTGAGGACCTATTCTAACCCGGATCCCCACGGGGCTGAACTTTATGACTTATCCTTTTAAAAACATTAAATCCCATTATTTCAGACACTGGGAGGTTTCGAATCATCAAATCTTGTACTTTGATGCATCTTGGGACCTTAAAACATATTTATGAAAAAGTAGGTCACTGTGACCTACTTTTTGAATTTTGCCGACATTTGTTTTCAAATTGTTTAAAACGCATATTTTGATTACCTTCAGACCTATGATCATCAAACTTGGTCAGTAGATGTATCTTGGGTCTTTGAAAAATGTCGACCAAAATGTAGGTCACGAAGACCTACTTTCGACATTTTATGGCTATATTTAAGTATCTTAGATATTTATTGGCTTAGAATCATCAAACTTTGTCAGTTGATGCATCTTGGGTTTTCAGAGAGTGACGACCAAAAAGTAGGTCATGGTGACCTACTTTTGACATTTTATGGCTTTATTTAAGTATCTCCGGTACTCAGTGGCTTAGAATCATCAAACTTTGTGAGTTGATGCATCTTGGCTTTTCGGAGAATGTAGACCAAAAAGTAGGTCATGGTGACCTACTTTTGACATTTTATGGCTTTATTTAAGTATCTCAGGTACTCAGTGGCTTAGAATCATCAAACTTTGTGAGTTGATGCATCTTGGGTTTTCGGAGAATGTCAACCAAAAAGTAGTTCACGGTGACCTACTTTTGAATATCTCAGGTACTTATTGGCTTAGAATCATAAAATTTTGTCAGTTTAGGCATCTTGGGTTTTTGGATAACGTCAACCAAAAAGTAAGTCACCATGACCTACTTTTGACATTTGATGGCTATATTTAATTATCTCTGGTACTAATTGGCTTAGAATCGTCAAACTTTGTCAGATGATGCATCTTGTGTTTTCAGAGAATGTTGACCAAAAGTAGGTCATGATGACCTACTTTTGAATATCTCAGGTACTTATTCAATTAGAATCATCAGTCTTTGTCAATTAATGTATCTTGAGTCCTCAGAAAATTTCAATCAAAAGGTAGGTCACTGTGACCTACTTATGGTATTTTATAATTATATTATAATATCTTCAGTCTTAACTGGCTAAATATTATCAAACTTTGTAAGTAAACGCATTTTGGGTCTTATGATACTAATAGAGTTGGAGGCTTCTAATAGAAGTGATATGATTGTACAATTTATCAGAAGAGCGATTCAAGGCCCTTGGGCCTCTTGTATTTTTAGGGTGCTGAAATCCATTTTCATTCTATTGATCAGCTGTCCATTTGCGGATTATTATTCTCGCGATTTGATGTTGAAGAGCCAGTACGCGATAAAAATACTTGCGAAAAATAAGGAATTTACAGTACTCTTCCTTTTGCTGTCCTTTATGTTAGCTGATGAGTTTAAAAGCTAAAGTTTTTGCAATTTCATTTACACCTGTGGCTATATTTACAGGAGTATATACCATATGACCATGCTGGCCGTGCCACACCTGATAGAGACTAAAGGAAACATTGTCAATGTGTCCAGTGTGAATGGGATCCGATCAGTAAGTCAATACAGCAAGATCAGTGAAGGTTTATAAGTCTGTCTGAAATATCAGATCCACCAGTTAGTCAGTCTTTTCAAATTCTTTAAAAAAGTCAGATAGGCGTCCAATTTCATTCAGTCAGTGATTCATTTTAACAATGTTTAAAAAGTTATCAGTAAGAATAGTAAACTCATCAAGCCTTTATTCCAACTGTAAATCAGTGTTTCTGTAGTCAAACAACATTATTTAGAACTTAATGGGACCAAGAAAAAACTTCAAACTATCCAAGGGTTCAGGTTCAACATTTTGAGGGTAAAATTCTCAAAGAAAGAGTTATTGGGGCTTCCAAATCAATTTGAAATATTCAAGGTAATACATTCAAGATATTGGTGTTCAAGGTAAACAAGATACCAAAGTACTGCTGTATGTACTGTATATATAGGGAATCCTCCCTGTTTATTTTAGCCCCTTTTGCCCTCATCAAAAGGGAACAAATGTAAAATGGTGCAAATTCAAAGAAAACAATTAGATCTCTTTCCCAAAACTTGTTTTGGGTGATTTAATTAAAAAAGGGCGAAATATAGTTTGCAATTATGATAAATAGGTAAAAAAAAAAAGCATAGGGCAAAAAATCTCTTTTACAGTATAAAGATCATTTGATATAGTCAGTACAATTTTTTTGTTAATACTTAATTTGTGGCTACAATTCTTTAATGTTCATGCATTTTCCAGAACTGTCATCTATTTTCAGTTTACATATTTTTCAATTTCAGTTTCCAAATGTCTTGGCCTATAATATGTCCAAAAGTGCTATCGACCAGTTCACAAGGTGTACAGCTCTAGGTAATGACAATGTAGGACCTGATTCGTTAAAGCTAAATTATGATAAAAGAAGGAGACACCACCAACCTCATAGCACATCACGGAAAGATTGATCAGCTTTGTAGCCAGTTCATGTACTGATCTGAGAGCTATTCTGAATTAAATTCTATTATTTTTAGTTGACAGAACAATATTATTTTAGCTTATAAGGCATACAGAGAATTTAAGAAAAACTTAAACTTGATTTTTATTTCACCAGAGTTGGCTCCAAAGCATGTGAGGGTGAACTCTGTCAAGTAAGTATATCTCAGTACATTTTCAGGACTGTCCTTTTGATTTTAAGCAGTGATAGTGCACTCTGTTTTCAATGAAGGGGCTAGGGATGTGGGTTACATCTACTAATTGAAACTGATCACATGATGCACATGAAAAGTTGTTGGCAAACACTGAAAAATACAATACTCATATATTTCTGATAATTCCCAGGGATTACTGCACAATGAATTACAGGAAAACAAATTATTGCTTGTTTAATTAATAATAAATATTCCTTGTTCTTGTTTTACTTGGAAGAATGAATTTGATAAATGCAGTAATACTGGCCTATTAACTTCATCTTTGACCTACTTTTCAAACTGAAATTTGAAAAATAGGAATATTTTACTCTCAGTCTGCCTTTCTGTCAAGTTTAGAAAAAATCTTGGGGATGCTGTACTCTTTGATCATGAGAGCTAAACTATCTGTGGTCCCCATGTTCTATTAAACAATTCAATAATCAAATGCTACAATATGTTGTTATGTGATTCAGAAATGAAATGTTGCAAAACAGTCGAGCAAATCCTGCCATCTACATTTGTTTTTGTTTTTTTCTCAACTTGACAGAAAAAAAGGTTATTGAATTAAATTAATGAGTGATGTTCTCAAGTTTATGAAGATGCAATGTATAGCCATCTCCAATATTTTTTAATTAAGGTTATTGAATCTAAATAATTTAATTCAAGAAGTCTTTAAATGAAGCTTGAAAATTAAATCTTTTCATGCAACATTTTCATTATATGCCTCTCAATGTGCTTCAGGGTTCTTTGAACTTCTCAGAAAGGTCTAATTAAAAGTAGAAATTTTTATCCCGAAGATACCAATGTTTTTTAACATGATATGAAATTAGAAGTGATTTATGGAGCTTTGCAAACAACCTTGAAGCACATTGAGAGGCATATAATGAAAATTGTTGCAATATTTTTTAATTAAAATATTTTTGAATTAAATTATAAATGAAAGATTTGTCATATAACATAAAACACATGAAATGGAGAGGACTTCATATTGCAACTAAAGTTTACAGAATTCTGATTGTTCTGTTAGATCTCTGAAAATAAATCTAAAATCTGTGAAGGTCAGTGTTCCCTTTCATTGTTTAAATCAGTTCAATTTGACTCAATTTGAAGTGGTAAGGTCTAAATAGGTCATTAAAATTTTACTTCATAATATATATGGGTCCACAAAAGGTGAACAAAATTTTATGAAAACGGGAAAAAATTTCATTGATGTACATGTAGATATGCACTTGGTGTTTTGTTTATCAAATCTCCAAATGGATGAAATAATTTTAATTAAGGTTGAATAGAATAAATAAAAAAAGCAGGTTTGAACCTAATATTGGCTCAGGTTAGTATTATGACCCATAAGCCTTTTTGTTGTGTGCTTATCATCTATTGCCAATGCCTTTCAGCTTAATATAAGCAGTCAAATAACTTTTAGATTTTTATTTTAAAAATTTAAAGGACATTGTCCAAAGTAAAATTTAATTACATTCATTTTCCCTATAAACACTGAAAATTACTCTGGAATATGATTTGTTCCTGTTCCAGGATTCAAAAATATATGAATATTTTGGTGTGACACCCCTTCATAAAGAGTTGTAAATAGAATTCTAACTTTGCTCTAAGTTTTACAGACAATGTTGACTGCACTATCATCCTGTTATAAAAGACTGATATAAATATAAACATCTTCCTTGTCAGTCCTGGTGTGGTTATATCAGAATTACAGAAACGTGGGGGATTAAATGAAGAAGCTTACGCAAAGGTAAGGTGTGTTGATTGCAGGGGAATAATTTTTTTTAAGAGATGGGTTTATTTATTTGAAGTTTTAAACGTGATTTATTTATTTGTTTTATTTATTTACTTGTTTATTTTTTAAATAAATAGCTTATTTACAAATGCAATGTAAAATGAAAATGCCAATTATTAAAAAAATAACGAAATGTGATTGTGTAAGCTTTAAGAATCTTTGGTTGAAAACAAATTCCCGATTAGAGACCAATAATTATGATTGCAAGTTTGGGACGTTGTAAATATGATGAATATTATCTAAAATGTTGATTGCATGCATTTCTCTTTGTCTTTTTCAGTTTTTGGAGCGTGCTAAAGAGACGCATGCGCTCGGTCGCCCAGGGCAACCTGAAGAAGTTGCCAGGGCAATAGCCTTCCTTGCCTCAGATGATTCGTCTTTCATCACAGGGGCGTCACTTCCGGTTGATGGTGGTCGCCATGCTATGTGTCCCAGATAATCAAAGAAAATAAATGGGAATTTTTTGTTGTTGTCTTTTGTTGTAGACTAATTGAAAAATAAAGCATTTTCCCCATCATTTTTTCTACATTGGAAAGTAAACGGACAGAGTAAATTTTGGCATTTTTTGCTTCCGTACTCAAATACGGATGAACAACATCGTTTGTATCAATTAATTATTCGAATATAATTAGATATCTATCATTATTCTTCCTGAAAACAAAGTGATTGTTTGGAGTATTTCCATATCATTTCATTGTCTGGAACGCCATGTGTGTTTCAATTGAAGTACCAGTAATCATGACAATGTAACTTTTGGCTTGATTTAACGCAAAACGCAATAGTTGTGCAATAAGGTAGAACATAGGTAAAAGTCTGAGGTACGGGTACCCGTTAATTTTGCTTAATTCACGGAAGTACATGTTTACCGTCGACGTAATCCCGTCGATCGGAGGGCTTGGTATGCCGAGTCAGCTACGACAACTCGGGTCCGTCCGCCATTATGCCCTGTGTGTAGCCATACTAAGGCGCTGGTCGCTTTATCGGACCTTTCTAATGTCCTTTTATTCTGTATTTTAATTGTTTGGATGTATGAGTTGGAATTTCAGACTTCTGAGAGAGCGACCCGATAGGGTAAGATACATAGATTGTAGCTGTAGAAAACAAATATTTATCGGAATTGATGCTTACTAAAATGCAGATGTGTAAAATAGTTGGTTCAGTTTTCTTTTGAACTTAACAAAACGGGTATTTTATCAATTTGTTTTGTAGAAGTTAACAAATAGGTATATTTTGAAGTAGAGATATGAAAATTTTATTTTAAGTAGCGGAAAAACGCGCCTAGTTTAAAATGATAATGAACCGTATTTATTTTTGTCATTGAAAATGTTAATAATTATAATGATATCATATTGAAAAAGAAAATATTTTTTTTATCATAATTAAATTATGCCAAATATGAATTAACTAATTTTTAACCAGCAATCTAAACGATCTTGTTCTTGACATGCCACAGGGAGATGTATTTTCTGAGTCTTATTTAGTGTGTTAATCAAAGTGATATAATTATCGGAACCTATCTAATAGATGTCATAATTATACATCGGGTATCTCTACGAAGATCACAGGTTAAAACACGAGTGTGATGATTTGTAACAGTTTTTCCTTGCCGTCCGTCACCATTTTGTGTTGAAATATAACCGGGAGTTATAAATTAACCAACGGTATCGCAACATACTGTAATAAATATTAAAACCATCTGATAATTTATAACTTACATTTATTTAATTTAATAGTAAATATCGCCAGTTTCAATCAATTATACGACACAAAATTCAATTCAGAAAACACTGTGATTGACTTTCATTTTAACCATAAACATTCCATAACATAAGGATTACAAAAAAAAATTTTTTTCACAATAAAGACTTACATATTTATGTCATCAAAAAGTTTATTTTCGAAAAGTGGATGGTTCTAAAATGTGTTGCATGTAACTTGCAATTTATTTTAAATTTAAAATTTTTTATGAAGAGTCCATGTAAACACTGAAGCTTTTATATGATATAGTTATCAGTGACCTTTACTTGTAATTTTTTTAGACAGTTTGTGGACAAAATGTTTCTCTTACGTCTTGCATTGCTCCAAATAGGAAATATAAAATTCAAAGCTCTTCCTTTCGAAAGGATGCGAAATTTTGTATTGAATTTAACGAAGAGGTCCAAATACATTTTATATAAAAGCAGGACAAGATAAAGCAAAGTAAATCATGGAGTAACTAAAGAACTGTAGATCGAGTAAGATACCCAATTTTTACGTGCCCAGCTATTAATATTACAGTGATTTTTATGCGTCAGGATTGATAGATCCGGGGTGTATATTGTTTTTGTCCTGTCTGTCTGTTTGTCTGTAAACATTAACCTTCGCCATAACTTTTGAACTATGGGCGATAGAAACTTCATATTTAATATGCATTATCCACTAATTAAGTTCTTTCAAATGAATCCAAGGTCAATGACCTTGTGACCTTGATTGTGACCTATACTGAATGCTAAGAATAGCTATTTTGGTCTGCAAACTTTAATAATCTTCACCATAACTTTGAAACCACGAAAGATCGAGACTTCATATTTGGTATGCATACTCCACTAATTACGCTTTTTCAAATGACACCAAAATCAATGACCTTGTGACCTTTACTGTGACCTATATGCTAAAAAACAGCTTTTTTGAACCTTCACCATAACATTTGAACCACGAGAGATGGAGACTTCATTTTTGGTATGAATACTCCAATAATTAAGCTTTTTCAAATGACATCAAGATCAGTGACCTTGTACCTTTACTGTGACCTATATGCTAAAAATAGCTTTTTACTACCTTCATCATAACTTTTGAACCATAAGAGATAAAGACTTCATATTTGGTATGCATACTCCACTAACCAAGTTCCTTCAAATGACACCAAAGTCAGACAGACCGTATATATTTAAACTCAGAATTGCATGTAAGTAACATAATTATAACTTCTGCAGCAAGCACAATACTTCACATGAGCAGATCTAGCAAAGAAAGATACATATTGGTTCAGATCCTTCCTCATGGAATTTTTCTGAGATTTCAAATTTGTATTGGGAAAATAGATTACCTCAGATTCCATGCTTTTTTCCATTGTCAGGAAATTCCATTATACATACATGTCTAAATAAAATTACGAAGCTCTAATTAAAAATGATTATGTAAAGTGTAAAGGACAAGATAGGCTAAGAACCCTTTTTGGCCCCTGATTTTGGATGTCTCTATGAACGAGGGAAAAGTTCATTAATAAAAAACCCTGTCAGCATTATTACAATAAGTAATGAGACAACAGGAAGGTCAAGAATATGACAATTTCTGAATTTTCTTATTTTTATGCAAATTTTTTTTTCAAAGCACACAATTTGTTTCAGGAAACATAGAGCACAAGTTTGCTTACCTTCCAAATTTATATCTTTCTTGGGTTATAGTATCAGATGCATCTTGTGTATAAAAAAAACAGATATATAGGCAAACTTTAGTTCTATGTTTCCTGAACTGAAAAATATTGCAGATTTAACGAATTTCCGGCAGAATTGAGGAGATTCGTTTAAGTATTCCACTTTGGCACCATCCTGTGGCCTCTTTGTATGCCTTGATTATAAATCAATGTTGGTTTGAAAACAAGTATTATTTAAAGTTATCTGCAAACTAACACAAATTTCAATGTGTTTTGATTTTTACATGAAACAAGAAGCCAAATTCTGATGTTACCATACCTTGACCTTTATATTTTAAGGTCAATGGTCGGGTTCAAGGTTACGACTTCTGAAAGTGTAGTCGTGTAATAGAAATTCCTACTTCAAAGGGAAAATCCCCACATATGCAAAAACTGAAACGCTTATTTAAAAATTCAGAATGTTTCAACGAAAACGTAATTGCTATAACTTCTTCGACTGAAATAATACCTACCAAATAAATGCTAGCAACCAATGATACATATAAACTATGATAATTTTTTCGATTCATAATTGAAAATCCCACTTCGTCATTGTATGTACTATGTACACTGTACTACCATTTACTTGCATTACTATTGCTAGATACTAGTGATATATAACGGTAATGCTTGTATGTTATATATCTTTTGACTTGATTACATGAAACCTTGCTTTAGAAATTAAATACTCAAAAAGAAATAAATACTAAGACCTTTTGAATAAAGAAGAAAATGTCTTGAATGAAAATTTTGGCATTACTCCGTGAAACATATTATTTAAATAATGGGCACAGAATATTATTTTCCTGTTATTTTTCTAAAGAAAATTGATTTTTTTTAACTATGACCCCCCCCCCCCCTCCCGAATAGAATTTTTAAGAAGTGTTTTAACTCCCAAGATCGAAATCAAAATATCCAGAAAAATGCTATGAAGAGAAAAATCTATTCATTAGGAATTCATTTGAAATATGATATCTCGTAGAATTAATCGAGTAGATGTAATGACCAAGGTTAATTTTTTTTTTTCAAAAGTAGATAAAATGAGTTACAAAATAAGGGTACCTAATGAAAAATGTTATTATGTAAAATAAGAGAATGAAAACACAAGCGTTATTTTACTCTTCATACCTTAAGGACAGGGTGTGAGAGTAGTTTGAGGTCATGCTCACGATGTCAAAATTAAAGTGTACAACCCTAGCTACAACCTTTTAGGCGTTATGTGAAAGTTTTTTCAAGGATAAACAGATTACTAGTAGTCAATAGACAGTCCCATAACTATGAATCTCTTATTGTGGCTTTATAAAATATTTTTATGAATTGTTTTAATTTGAAGAAAAGTGTTTTCATAGCTGCATTACTTATTGATTCTGATCACATGTGAAAGTATTTCATGATTCCAACACATCTTTTCAACACATTTCAAAGGCATAGGAAACTCCTTGATATTAACAATATTTGAAATACATTGTTCAATAAATAAATACGATTTAGAAATGAAGTAAAAAAAGTGTTCTATATAGTTATTAAGTTGTCTTAGGCACAACTACTACATCAGCATCATCTAATTGTGGTATATTTTAGAAACCGTGGGAGTCGCCAGGAAGTTCCACTATTCCTTTTGCTGGCAATTCTCATCAAAATAAAATAAATATATAGGCATATGTATGTAACTCAAATATGAAAGATATTGTGATGTTAAGTAAATAAAACATCATAAAATTATGATATGTCAACCGAAAGCCAACGTAAGTAAAAATTTCTTATCAGTAGAATTTTAAGATCCTTGTATGAACTTTATCTAATAAAACACAGGCTATATGGGAATGACATTATTATGAATTGGTGAAAAGAAGTTCTGCTCTAGATTGAGTAAAATGTATAAGATTACTTGTTTTTGATTTTTTCGTTCATTTACAGAACATTTTTGATGGAAAAAGCAAATAACCGTTTGGGCATTGTTATGCCCTAAAAAGAACAAAGTTCGCTTGGTGCCTTTTTGGCCCAGTTAATTTCTGAAGTAATTATCTACTTTATTTTGATATTTGAAATGGAACCTGGCGTGTTAGTCAATGAATTGGTATATCTACAAGGCCATTTTATGCATAAAGTCATCGTAGATCTTTATTGTTGAAATTGATTATTTTACATCACTTCTTAATTGTAGAAAAAACAGGGTCAGATTTGTATTGAAACCATATCTTATTCGTTGTATGAAAAAAGTTTAAGAATAAATATTTGAACTCTATATTCATGTATTTATTGAAGCATTTTTTCAGTCAACACAATTGGTAGTCCAAAACTGTGTAGAAAAAAATATTTAAGATATTTAATTACATGGGGTAAATTGTAAATTGTGTACCATCTTTAAGCTTGAAGCTTAAATAGTAATCTCTCTCTCCGACCTGCTATTTACGGTTTACAAGAAGTGAGTAATATACCCGATTTCTCGGTGTATACGTGACCAAACAGTAAACCGCTCCTAGCGGCGGATCAATGTTACGCGGATATGACGTCACATGCGTTGGTTCCTGTCATGTAGTTGAATGTGTTGGGTGCACTCACAGGTCAATAGTTGTTGTTATTCATTAGGTGCAGGCCTTTTGTTGGCCTGTCGTTCTTGCTATATATCAAAGGTATACCAAAAACATTTTGGGAGAGTTTTTACTCATTGATCAACTGCTTTAGTCATTTATCTTATTAGTAAAAATAATAACAATTGCTCTTCTAACTGAGTAATTAAATTATTTTCTGTGATGCATCAAAATTGCCAGGCGAAGAATTGCAAAGTTTTCTTCGTATTATTCAAGTACGTATACGTGTATAAATTTCTTTTTCTTTTTTAATATTACATTTGGCTTCAAATTATGCAAGGTTAAGTGATGTTTGAAATCAGTTATATTGAATATATTCCCTACGTACGTAATCCTTAATCCATTAATTTGTCATAATATAAAACTACATAAGCTCAAGCCTTTTCACAATAATTTCACAAAAAAGACACATGTTTTACCATATGATTTTCATCATTTGACTGTGAATGCTTCTATCAGTTCACTCGTTCATATAAGAATCACATTGAAGGTGCGTCATACAGTGTAGGTGTGAATTTTCAGTACTGTCTGTCTTACTGGTATATATATTGTGTGCCACTGTACACGTTCGTGCTTGGGTACACCGTTGGCAATTTGTACTTACTGATCATTTGTACGTATGTACCTGTTTTATTCTGTCAGTCGTGTTATTTTACACTAACGAAAGCAGGTATGAGCGTCTTTTTAAAATATATTCTGAATTTATCTAGTCACCATGAAACTTTCTAAAATCTGACATTAGTTTGGTGGCTTAATTCTGGCTTCAGAAAAAAATATAATGATGCTTTTTTTGCTTGCTTCTTGTATATGTACATATACATGTAACAAAACATTGTAGCAATATTAACATAATGATAAGGTCACCGTGTTTTCTCGCAGTAACAAGATGTTATAAAATTGACAACAGGGTTGTGTAGCTCTCAAGACTTGCTGGAGCCTTTTTATGGCAGTGAAGAGGTCAAACGATAATCTTATTTAATAGAACATAAGCGTCAGATGATCAACCCGTAGGTATAAAAAGACCCCAATCTGCACAAATAGATACACAAAATGTAGTGAAGTAGTCGTCCCTCAACCCTAGTTAGCTTTTTCGCACTTTCGATTGGATTTTTTGGGATGTTCATACATGTCCATTGTGTTTCAATATAGGTATATTAAAACAAAAAAAAAAACTTGTTCAAGTATAGGTGTTACATATATATATATATATATATATATATATATATATATATATATATATATATATATATATATATATATATATATATATATATATAATTGCTGCTAATATACATAAGTAATATATTTTCTTTTTCAGATGAAGAAGCATTTATGCATAGTCTTCACAGTGTTAGCATTAGTGGGAGCTTACATAGAGGAAATCGATCTACCCGAATCCTTTACAGAATGTTTGGAAAAACAGAGAATAAAGAATCACGGTGCAGCCAGCTGGGAGGCCATGAACAAATGGTGTATGAACAGCCACAGGATGAAACTCACAGGTGATAAGTTCAAACACGCCAACGTATCACAGGACACGGTCAGCTGGATTAATGAACTACTCAGGATGTCAAACGTGGATATGAAGCTGGACCTTCATTCCATAAACAAAAGACAGGCAGATAATCCCTCACTGTATCCCAACGTGCAATTTCCCCCACAGCCAATCATTACAGATGAAGATTCACAAACATCAAATACACAGAATTCACAGGGGCCCGAATACCAATCAGAAACGCTCCAGTCCTTTGTTAATCAACATACCGGATCAAACCAGGCCCAGAGGTTTCAGCCCGGACAGACAAGGCCGTTTCCAATTATTGGTGGGAATCCACAGCCTCCATCACAATCAGTGGTTCAGACACAACAACAAGTTTTCCAAGGCTCAGTACAACAACAGCCGATAACTGGACAAAATCAACCTATCCAAAATCAAGCTTCTCCAATTCAGACAAACCCTGTTCAAAATCAGTTTTCCCAACAATCCGTAGTTCAACAGCCTCAACAGGCAGTTAATTTTGCGTCATCCCAGCAGACGTCATTTGTTCAACCCCAGCAGCCGACATTTGTGCAACCCCAGCAGCCAGCATTTGTACAAACACAACAGAATTTTCAGCCGGTGAACGCATTCCAACCTCAGCCAACTGTATTGTCTCCGACCATGTCCGCAGCTCAGCCTTCTGGTATTCCACAAGTACAGCGGCCTCAGCTAAGGATAAGGAAGGAGTATAGGACGATGACGGAGCAAGAGAGAGCCAACTTCCACAGAGCCATTCTACTACTCAAACAGGATACGGTAAGACAATCTCCATAACACACTTCACTAAATAGTTTTATATTTGCAGACATGTTTTAAATCATGCTTAGTCGTGTTTTTTAATCCGTCTCTAGAATTTAGTAGTAGCTTTCTCTTTTGTCATTTTATTCTGTATCAGTATCAATGTTACTATTTAATTTTGTCGCAAAAATAGCCAAACAGACAGTATGGTATGAAAACAAATCTAGCAGCAGACATCATAGTATTAATTATTTGTTCAAGTGTATATTTACAACTTCTTTTCATACTATTTTATCCAGACTATTCGACCTAACCGATATGATGCACTTGGACTTGTTCACTTTCGAATGGTTGATAATATACACCATGGGGGAGCATTCTTAGCTTGGCATAGAATATTCATCACCATGTAAGTTCCGTTCCTGATTTATTTGCTTTCGTATCAATACTGTATCTTCATATATGTTATTATTTTATTATTCTGCAATATTATGTCATTACCTTTACATTCTATTTGATTTTAGATTTGAGAATGCATTGAGACAAATGGTACCCGGTGTTACTTTGCCTTACTGGGATTCAACAATGGATGAGGCAATGATAGATCCCACCCAGTCCGTCACGTGGTCACCGCAGTTCCTTGGCAACGGGGATGGTCTGGTGACAAATGGACCATTCGCCTTCTGGCAAACTCCTAATGGACCACTCATCAGAAATATCGGACAGGATGGTCAGCTGCTCTCAAGACAAGCCATAAGGACTATACTGACCAGAACAAGAATGGCGCAAATCACAGAGCCTGCTGCCCCTGATCAGTTTAACATTGAAAATTACCACGGTGATGCACATACTTGGATCGGAGGTCAAATGGAGCCTATGGAAACATCCGCTTTTGATCCTGTTTTCTACTTGCACCATGCCTTTGTTGACTATGTTTGGGAAATATTCCGTCAGCAACAGCGAGCCATGGGAATAGATCCCACCCAAGATTATCCTCAGAATTACGGCCCACAGTCACACGCTCCCTTCACACCCACAGGATTTGGAAACCTGCCAAATGTATTTGGAATAAGCGACTTGTTTACCTCCCAAATATATACTTACCAGCCACATCCGACTTGTTCCTTCCAGAACTCCAACTGTGGATCTCCATACCTGACGTGTGATCTTGCCACTGGTGTGCCACAGTGCTTGCCCATCTCCTCAGGAGGACCTCCACCACAACTACGAGCAGCGCGTATGAGGGGCGTGCCTGGTGTGATGGGTGCTGGTCCAAGGTTAGGAGGAATGCCTCCCCCCTTTGGTCGTAAAAAGAGAGAAGCAACTAACGAAAAAGTGACAGTTAATGCAAAGTCATCATCAAACACTTACCAGCAAGTGATGGTCAAACAGATGCAGTGCTCCAATACATGGGTCTCTTTCTCCAGCCAGAATACCTTCGAAATCGACAATGAGGGGGATACCCGAAAATGGGTGTTTATACCAGTTCGTGTAGTTAACAAACGGTCGCCAGAGCACCGTAAATTTAAAGCCTACGCAATCATTGATGGAAAGCCCTCCGTTAAGGCCGACATCTACGATCCGGAACAGTATGAAGAAATCAGACCATACTTCTCAGAGGAACTCATGCCATCATCAGAAAAATGTAAAACTGTCACTGGGGATAGAACGGTGGGCCGCATCCACATTCGATCTAATGGACTTAATTACCAGGGAAATTACGACGAATACGTCATTGTGGACTTAAGGCAGGCGTTTACGGAGTCCACCACCTATATTGGACTTAAAAGTCCAGGTCAGAATGACACAGAAGTCCTTCTGTCTGCTTATGACTCTTGTGGTCGAAAATGTCAGGCCTTTTGTCGGAGCAGAGACAAGAATTCTCCGGGTTTTCATCCCTGTTCGGGAGCTCTCCGAGTAAACAATAACACTCCGTGGGAATATGGTAAAAACTATGGTGATGCAGTGCGCATGTCTTGGGATTTGAATGACTTGTATACAATCCCAGAACTACAAAGTCAATCTGTTTTTATTCAATTTTTCTGTGATCATCGATAATAAAATTGGTTTGGGAGTTTCAGGTCTCATTTTCTCAAAATTTTAAAGAATGTCTGTGTGCGGATTAAAGAGGAATATAAAGAGAGTGCACAATCCTACGTTAAAGGTCATTTTGTTAAGTCACCGTGTAAAATTCCTATTTTTTCTAATTTAAATTCTAATTGCACACTATCTTTGAAACAATGTTTTAGTGACATAAATCTACACTGTACTTCAAAATTCAGCTTAGTTAATGATTTAGTTTTTTGCTTTCTGTTCAATAAAGATCATCTTACATATGCATCTTATTATCTGTTTTTATGCTGGAAAATAATTTGCTTGTAAGTTGGAAGTACTCTGTAGCTGAAACAATCATCAAGAAATAGGAATTCTATTACACTAATTAATTAATTCGAATAGTACATAGAGGTATATAGTTTTGCCTTTCCGTCCATTCGTCCGCTAAAGCTTGCTGATATCTTTTGATAGGTTAAATAATGTTTGCATATTCCATAAGTATATTCCATGTGACAGGGCCTTTCTTTGGTTACCATTACACATTATCTAAAGTTTTGATCTTGACCTTTTACATGTTTTTAGTGTTTGACCCAATTTTGCCAAAAATAAAAAATACCAAAGTGCACTATTGGTCATTGAACCTTTGAACAGTTAGAAAGAGGACTTTCAAACTTCATATATGTATATATATATATATTAGCCGAAGGTTCAAGTGAGCTTTTCTGTGTCAAACTTTTCTTTTCGACCTTTGGTAGTATTTTTTTATTTAAATTGTTATGAAAGGGCCCTGTCACAAAGGGGGATAATGAAGAAAAGACAAAAATAGGAGCCTTTAAAAAGCTGAACCTATGTGGAAGCATCATAAAATTTTATCTGTTAGTGATAATATATAGGAAAAATCTTTGCTTTCAAGATTTTTACATACAATGTAGAATATACAGGAAAAATCTTTGAAAATCTTCTTTTCAAGAACCACTCTGAAACTTATGTGGAAGCATCCTGGGGTAGTGTAGTTCTAAATTGACATGACTTGGGAATCTTTTACATAGAAATATATACAACTTCTTCTCAAGAACCACTGGACCAGAAAAGCCTTATGTTGAAGGATCCTGGGGTAGTGTAGATTTCAAAATGTCTAAATTATGATCAGTGGGGTAGAGTGGGAATGGATTATGTATTACAAGGGGGAAATCTTCAAAGCTTCTCAGGTGAGCGATGTGGCCCATGGGCCTCTTGTTTTATGTTATGACCCTGTCATGAGAATTTGACCCTTTAAAACTTGAACCTTCGCCATAAATTTTTATCTGTGATAATTATAGATTTTATATCTTTAGTGACAAGACTTCTTTCGGGTAGAAACAACTTTAACCTCTTGGCCTTTGAGTTTGACCTACTTTTGAAAATCTTTTACCTTGACCATATACCATTTGAAGTTAGTAATATGATTTTATATTTCACATGTGTGATTTTCCTTAGTTAGCATTGCTTTTGACCCTGTGACCTTGACTTTGACCCACTTTATTTAGAAAATGTAACCTTGGTCATAACTTTTGAATGATTGCTGCTTCGGGCTTTCAAATTTCATAAAGGAAAATTTATTGCGAGAAGTCCTAGTTGGTGGTAACATTTTTTTTTAATCTTGACCTTTGAGTTTGACCTGCATTTGAGAAAATTTGATATTAACATCCGATTCGCCTGAAGCTGTTAACGGAGGCATCAACACCTGGGAAAGTATGGTTCAAAAACTGGTACATGTAAGGTCAAAACACATAATTGCCAAAAATTTCAGAGACCAGAAGAGCTTATTACCGCTACATTTTGTCTGTCTGTAAACAATTTTTCAAAATGCTACTCCTCCTACAGTTTGGTCTGATTTCAATATAACTTGGCACACAAGTAGACTACACCAAGATACATAATTCTGTACATCTGTTTTTGATTTCGATGAACGGTGTTGCCGTGGTTACTAAAACTGTGAAATTCTTTCAAAATGCTACTCCTCCTACAGTTTGGGTCTGATTTCAATAGAACTTGGCACACAAGTAGACTACACCAAGATACATAATTCTATTTATCGGTTTTTGATTTCAATGAACGGTGTTGCCGTGGTTACTAAAAATAGAAATTTCTGTGAAATTCTTTCAAAATGCTACTCCTCCTACAGTTTTGGTCTGATTTCAGCTTGGCACACAAGTAGACTGCACCAAGATACATAATTCTGTTTCGGTTTTTGATTTCATGAACGGTGTTGCCGTGGTTACTAAAAAGAGAAATTTCTGTGAAATTCTTTCAAAATGCTACTCCTCCTACAGTTTTGGTCTGATTTCAATAGAACTTGGCACACAAGTAGACTACACCAAGATACATATATATTTCAAAATGGTGATGCTGTGGTTACTAAAAAGAGAAATTTTAATTCTTTCAAAATGCTACTCCTCCTACAGTTTTGGTCTGATTTCAGTATAACTTGGCACACAAGTAGACTACACCAAGATACATAATTCTGTGTATCCATTTGATTTCGATGTAAGTTGCTGTGGTTACTAAAAATAGAAATTTCTGTGAAATTCTTTCAAAACGCTTACTCCTCCTACAGTTTTGGTTTTTTCAGTTAAATTTGGCACACAAAACTAAGACATAATTCTGTATATCAGTTTTTCACTTCAATGACAGTGTTGCCACGGTTAAAAAATAGAAATTTCTGTTAAATGCTCTCAAAATGCTACTCCAAATACAGTTTTAGTCTGATTATAATATAATGTTGCATGCAAGTAGACTACACTAAACATAAAGAGACTTAATCAACGAATTATTTGTTATTGCTGTTTAATTTTAAAAAAAACTTTTCTCTTCCTTTGCTGTAAGTACAAACCAGTACTTTTACCACCCTTCGTTGTTAAGCATCCTTCCGGAGATTTAACATACTTTCCTTTTTGCTGTTGAGACCAGCCTCGTTGAATGCGGAGAGAGGGGAGCTTCTTCGTAGTATAGTCTGTTGTGCAATAGTAAATGTTCAAGTAGACACCCCCCCCCCCAACATTTCTGTTGTCGTATGGTACAACACTGGAAAATTCCAGGATTAGGTGGAAAAATCATATGGTCAATATTCCTCCTTCTTTGTCAGAGAATATACTGTTAAGCACACTAGCTGCAACATATACATTTACTAACACTCACTATCTTACAGTTTAAACTTTAATCTAGATTTTCAAAAATCATTGTAAATGTAGCTAATACAGTATAGTTAGGCAGAAAGTCATGCCAGCATGAAATATTGAGATGCAGTACGGTACTTCATTCATTGGAATTCTATTTGCTGGGCAAAATTCAATCTTATCATTTTTTGATAAAACTCATTTTCATACATTCCAATTCAAAAATCTTTTGTATTCTGATTAAGGCTGTCCAATCCACAGGTAGTGCAAACCAGACATTAATTGAAAATGCTCACAATAATGTTCTCTGGGGTAATAATTTTAACATTCAATAAACTTCAGTCTACACTACTTGAAGATACTTCCATATATTAAATATTTCTAGTAATAAATCATGACTTTGTTGATCTTGGGAATATGAATTTTACGTATATAGACTTCCTTTACCAGAAAGCATGCAATATAAAGTAAAGTTATCTTTTCCAAAGGCTGTTATTTACAGCACATTAATACGATTTATAGCACTTTTAGATAGAACAAGCAAATTCAAAGAATTGTGGTCCCCCGCTTTCGGTTTCTTTGTGGATGAGATGTTATTTTTTATGACATATTGCGTCTAATATGAACATCCTATCATGCCATTTATTTAGAAATTATCATTGAAGTTGATTTTTTTGGAAGGATGAAAACCCTAATCCTGACCGTTAAAAAGTTATGGCCAAAGTAAAAAAAAAGTTTTTTTAAAAGTAGGTCAACTCCAAGGTCAAGATCAAAAGGTCAAATTTTTTTTTTTATTCAATGAAAAGTTTTCTCACAGGGATTACATATGTGAAGTATGAAAGCCCTAGCCCTTACTGTTCAAAAGTTATGATCAATGTTAAAGTTTTTTCATAAGTACGTAAATATTTAAGGTCAAGGTCAAAAGGTCAAAGTTGTTGATATCCAATGAAAGGGCTTGCCACAAAGAATACATATATGAAATATAAAAGTCCTAGTATCAACCGTTAAAAAGTTGTGACCAAAGTTAAAGTTTTTTTAAAAAGTAGTTAAAACACCAAGGTCAAAGGGTCAAAGTTGTTGGTATCCAATGAAAGGTCTTCTCACAAGTATTACATATGTGAAGTACGAAAGCCTTAGTCCTCACCGTTCAAAAGATATGGTCAAGGTTAAAGTTTTTTCATAAGTACATAAATCTCCAAGGTCAAGGTAAAAAGGTCAAGGTTGTTGGTATCCAATGAAATGTCTTGCCACAAGAAAAACATATGTGAGATATAAAAGTCCTAGTATCTACTGTTAAAAAGTTGTGACCAAGGTTAAAGTTTTATAAAAGTAGTTAAAACTCCAGGGTCAAGGTCAAAGGGTCAAAGTAATTGGTATCCAATGAAAGGTCTTCTCACAAGTATTACATATGTGAAATACGAATGCCTTATTCCTCACCGTTCAAAAGATATGGTCAAGGTTAAAGTTTTTTAATAAGTACAATAAATCTCCAAGGTCAAGGTCAGAAGGTCAAGGTTGTTGTTACCCAATGAAAGGTCTTGCCAAAAACAATATATATGTGAAATATGAAAGTCCTAGTACCTACTATTCAAAAGTTATGGCCAAAGTAAAAGTTTGGAATTTTTGTGTAAAAGTGGGTCAATTTTAAGGTCAAGGTCAAAAGGTCAAATTTGGTGGTACCCAAAGAAAGGTCTTGTCACAAGGATACATATGTGAAATATGAAAGTCATAGCTCCACTAAATCAAAAGTTATGGGCAAGGTTAAAGTTTTTGTGACGGATTTACAGCACATTGATACGGACAGACGAATTTATAGTCCCTTTTAGAAAGCGGGGGACAAAAATACATGTAACAATTTATAGGCAAAAAATCTACATAAAATCAATAAAATTCTTGAAATAAAAATCATTTTAAATACAAATGTGTTACATATACTGGCTTAAGTATACAACCATTAAACATGAAATTAGTGTTTCAGCAAAATCTGCTGCATACTTTAATTCAGAACAGCAAAAAATTATTTTTCACTGAATTTCAAGAAGGTATTTTTTCATAGCATTTGGAATGGGTAACTGTGGCACCTTAACTGCCAACTGTCTGTCTATAGATTTGTAAATCACAACACGAGAAATCTCCATCAGACTTCGGGGACTCTCTGACATTGAGCTAAGAATCTGAAGTAGCTTCTTCCCAACCGCTCCCATTGGATGAAATCTTGTCATAGAGCGGGCAGAATTAAGGCACTCGCTGAGTTCCTTGTGGCTCATGGAGTGATAAAATAACATGAGCAGCTCCTCAGCATAACCATCTCTGTAAAGGGCTTCTTCATCCTTCATCTCGTGAATGTAATGGCTGACAGGCTGGGTGCCTTGGTGACGAAGGAATATGGAACTCTGGGAATGGCAGATGATGGGTTCAGATTGATAAGGTTCTACATCAGGGTCGCCTCCCCACTGAAGGATGACTGTTAACCAGCGCCGAATCACTACAAAGTCTGAAGGACATTTGGCAAGTTTAGACAGATGGACAAATTCAATGATTGCATTTCCTGTTCCTCCCTTTAGATACGGATGTTTGGCATTTGTCAAGACATTGGGATTCAGTCCATGCAAAAAGTGAGCGCGCAAGATTTCACAAACAAGATCAGAGAAATCTTCCCTCAACCTTTGGGAATCTTCAGACACTGGAATTGTGAAATATCTTGCTGCAAACTTTGCCAGAACGGTGGAACAAGTGAAACCATTATTCATCTGGAAATTTAATTTAGCACCATACTTTAACAATGTAGATAACGATGAGACAACACCCTCTGCTTGATTACAGACTTCCACAAGATTATTTTCCAACAAACACTGTAGAAATATCTGATAAGAGGAATGACCTTCTGAACAAAGACTATTGGGATCTGATCCATGTTTCAGTAGAACTTCCAGAGCACTGTTCAGATGATTGAAGTCATTCTTGTAGAGATACTTTGAGTCAATAGAAAACTGAACACAGTCACACAGCATTTTGCCCATGGTACCACATGACTTCAGTGCAACATGCATCAACTTGTTCAGGGGCTGAAGGCCAAAGCGGTTCCCCCTCAGAGGGTCAGCATTGAACTTAAGCAGGAGATCTAAGGACTGAACAACCTGGTCCTGGTAATCTGGTTGTAACTGTAGTCTGGTTACCTGGTTCTGGCTCTGACTGGGATGAAGGAGATTTCCTCCAATAAAGGACACGTGAGTCACAAGATAGTGTAGGGGAGTCTCCATTGAGGTGTCCACCTCATTCACCAACTGCTCAATTCCTGTTGTCAACAGGTACTTGGTGGTGTCAAATATGGTGAACAACCCATCTATGTCATTGCAATAGAGTCTGTGTAGGGCGGTCTCCCCAGTTTTAGAAACACAGTTTACATCTGCACCATTATCTATGAGAGATTTAGCACATTCTCTTCCCCAGACAACTGCCTGAAGAAGTGGAGTCTCTCTTTTGGAGTTCAGTGAATTGACTTCATCTGGAAATCTTTCCACAAAGTAACGAAGACAGTTTAAAGTTCCTTTGCAGCATGCGAAATGAAGAAGTCTGGAAGGAAATGGTAGAGGCACTCTCTCTGACTGCATCTGTGACAGAAGCAGCTTCACACAATTCACACTGTCACTAGAGATGGCGTAAAAGACTGGGAGATCCACATTGACTTGACATTTATAAGTGGAGTAGTCCAATAAGCCAAGGATCTTGTAGGCCTCTAGTGGGGAGTGGGGCCCAGGGTAACACATCCCTGCAATCTGTCCACTCCTCCCTCCCCTCTCTAACAATGTCTCCAATATACCATAGTGTCCTAAGTGAGAGGCCAAGTGCACAGGATTGTTACACTTCAGATTCAAATGTCCAGAGTAATATTGCACTAGTTTGTTTACAAGGGCTTTGTTGTTGGTGATAACAGCCAACTGAATGAGATTATACTTGGTGTGTTGGTCAAAAACACTTAGAATATCTTCGTCCTTGGGAAGTGATTCCACTATCCGCATTACTGCTTCCAGGTCATCTTGATGTCGCAGTAGGTAAATCGCACGGAGAACTTTTAACTCTGTTTCAGTAGACGGGGGATGAAGCGGATTGTCAAATAAAATCTTTATCGGCCAGAAAGTTCTAAAGTACTGGTTGAGATAGAAGAAACAACTGGAGGTGAACTCGATAATGTTTGCCATATTTTTGCATTGAAAAATTCTGCAGCGCCTCTGTTCCTTTTTTTCTCTTGTCAGTCCATGAAATCTACAAGTAAAAACATTGATTTGTTTACACATCAAAAAAAAATTTCAAAAAATAAAGTTTAAAATGAAAGGTCAGGACAAACTCTCACAAATGAAATGATCCAATACTGTATAATCCCTATTAACTGCCCCTGCCCCTATAAGCGCCCCCTTAGGTCTTTTTCAATTGTCAGGAAATAAGGGCCATTGATTTAAATCAACAAGAATCCTATAAAAAAATTAAGGAAAGTGAAAATGAAACTTGTCTTTTATCCAATTTCTTAGTGGAAAATGAATAATTAAGCATAATTTGTGTGGATTATCTTCACTTTAAGTAAAGTTAGGCATTATTTTAGTGATTCCTTGTATTTTTTCTTTTCAAAAGATTTTTTGAAGTTAAAATATGACATTTAATTTAAATATCATAAAGAGAATACCAAAATAACCGCCCCCTTTTTGCAATTTTCTAAGTGCCCTGGGCAGTTAATAGGGATTATACGGTAGTTATTGTTTACTTGGTTAATACTCCAACGAGAGATACAACTCTTGCTTGCCAATGGATAAATAAATAAGAGACCATTTCTGCCAAATTTTGTCTTGCAAGGTATGCTGATTTGAGTGTATTTTAATTAAAATATAAACATTTCTTCTGGAAAATCTTAAGTGCCAAGGAAAAGTTTATGTGAGTGCATGGGCAGAGGGCGGATAAACCTTAAAATCTATTTTTTTTTATGATAATGTTACAGTTTAGGTATTTTTTTTCTTTATGCTGACTGTTGTGTGTTCTACAATTGTTTACACCAACAGCATTTATCATGTTAACATGAAACCATTTATCATGTTTACCACCAATTACATCAGATCAACACAACCATAGCAACAATAACCGAGATTACATCATAAGTGGATAAACCCGATCATAATTTATTGAGTAACCATAGTAACTCACTTGTCACTCTCAATAATATCAATGTTCAGGAGGGGACAGCAGCTTTCAGTTCAGCTCTCTATCTGTGCCTCATCTACAACAGATCATTCAAATTGAAATTAAAGGTACATATATCAGTCTATTCCAGCATAAACCTCAAAATGTTTATTAATATACAATATCAAGAAAGAGTATAACAGTGTAGAATGTACTTTAATCAAACACTGCACTTTTAAACTTGGGATTTTTAAAGTTCACATCATCGATTCAAATGCACTTTTATGAAGAAAAAAAAAATTCATGTGAATTCAACATGAAACGCATGTCCTGGTATTTAGAGGCATACCTTCAGTTGCTGTATTTTTTGAGGCCATTGCATGATTCTGTCAAATCTTTGATATACAATCATGACTATTGGTGAAGACTGATTGTCACACTTACTTACTGTGTATGCGTGACTCATCTATTTTGTTTATTTTGGATACAGATAAGATACATGTATAAGTAAATAAACAATGTTAACCTCCCACTTCTATATTTCTGTTTAGTTACAGTGGCATGTTTGAGGATTATACTTTATCAGCATTTATTTTATCAGTTATGTATTTTAATTCAGGTAACTTCTGTAATTTACACAAGTACTGTCCAGTACATGTATATGCATGTAGCAGACTTGAAAACTAATCTTAAAGGACTTGTGACAACTCTGATGACGGCGGCCTCATGGGGGATCAAATTCAAGTTACATGTTAATTAATATACTACTTAGTTCACTAAATCTGGCAAATTATGAGCTCATTTAATTAAATAATCTTGTACTACATGTATGTGTATCCACATCAAAGTTAATTTAAGTTGTTTTCCAGGATTCTTTTCACAAATAAAACTTTTCATCATATTCATGTAAATTCATTGATAACTATTTTGATAAGCTAATTGAATACAAGCAAACACAAAAGAATACTATCTATAACTTTGTTGATTGAAGCAGATGTGAATAAATATTTGATTTCTCCTCTTTTATGTTTGGTATAATAACAAACTCACTGCTATGAACTCTGGACATACAAGCATACCAGATAATAACAATAAAGTCTAGGATGATCAACAATTTTTATACACCCCCCCCCCATAAAAAACCCCTTTAAAATAATTATCATTCAGCATGTTAAGAGCTGACTTTTGTCTCATATCCCATATGCCATGTATGTGGTACATTGCCCAAGATCATTTTAAATTATAATAAAATTACAATTATAGTATATGACATTCGTCACCCTACTTATCAACTTGCTAATGCTTAGATGCATGATACTAGTATCTAATTATCTATCAGGCATTTTATGAATAAGATACCTACATTATACAGGCTTTACAGTGAATAATCAACTATTCCACTTGCACTAATTAAATTATATTTTTAACTTACTGACTATAAAACCAATTTTAAATGAAGTTAAATTCATTGGTACTCATAATGGTAAGGAAATGTACGTAAACATGGTAAATGCACATGCATACTCAAAATTTACATTATAACTTCCAGTGCCCATGGTTAAAATGATCATACATGCACATACTGCCTGTATGAAAACACATTGGGATTATTCTTTGAAAAATTGACATTGAAATTAAATACTACAGTATAGTAACTCGGCTTTGGTTAAAAATATGGTATTACGAACTGAATAGGCTCAAGCAGAAATCTTTGTCATAAAAATTAAGACGTCATTTTATCTTTACCAATCCCAAACGTCATGCCAATATGATAAAAATTACTAGTGCTACACGTCATGACTTTTCAGCAGCCTCTGCAGGTTTAGTGCAACATTGCATAACAATGTACTTTTTACATTATCTTGAGTGATAATTGAAAAAATATGATATACTCCGGCGTACATACCGTGCTTTCAATGGAGCACTGACAGTTCAATGTTCCTGTTTTTGCTAAACCTGTTCAAAAAGGTTGCGTGACGTCTATCACGACAGTCATCTTCCGATCATTCCCTGGTCTACTGCTTTCTAATGTTTTTGTCTGGGTGGCCTTCACCTATACAAGCGATGACTTTTTTTTGTTTTCTTGACTAAAGAGTTCCACTCGTGTTTTGAAGCGGGAAATCTAAAAATATTTCCATTTCTAATTGCAGCCCGGAGGACCGGGCTGCTCTATACATATAAGTTTAAGTGTAGGTGTATGGGGATTGGGGTGGGAGTAGTTATGCAGAATTAAAGGCTTTCTAAACATTGAAAAGATTGTTAATCAGAATGTTCTTTCTGTTTATGAATCACTGGCGGATTTAAGGGGGGAGTGGGGGGCGCACGCCCCCCCTAAAATTTTCAAAGTATATGTGACTAATATTTATAATGCCACATTTTGGTACAAAACTAACCCAATAAGTGTTATTCTGCCTGGTTTTATTCTTAAAATACACAAAAATCCAGGGCTGCGCCCCCTGGGCCCCCACCATTCAAAGTATGATATGACTAGTATTAAACACGTCGTACTTTGGTACATCACTAACCAATATACCACTTTTAGTAAGTTATAAGTAATAAAATCGTTTATTATATAGTGACATGTGTTACAATACAATGAGAATTGAGAAACATTCAATACATTTATTATTCAAACATCCAGACCTATATGCTATACACTTTTAACAAAAATAATTGAAAAAATATCCACTATTATTGTGCCTGGTTTTACTCTAAAATACAGGAAAACCAATGAGCTTCCGGGGGCTTCGCCCCCTGCCCCCCCACCTACATGCTATATATATACTTTTAACAAAAATAATTGAAAAATATGCACTGGTTAATATGTGCCTGGTTTTACTCTAAAATACACAAAAACCCAGGAGCTTCCGGGGGCTTCGCCCCCTGGGCCCCCACCTATATTCTAAAAACTTTTGAACAAAAATAATTGAAAAATATGCACTATTATTGTGCCTGGTTTTACTCTAAAATACACGAAAACCCAGGAGCTTCCGGGGACTTCGCCCCCTAGGCCCCCCCCAGGGCTTCGCCCTGGACCCACTGGGGGCCTTAAGGCGGCCCCCAGACCCCTTGCCTCATTAAAGTTATCCACGCCCCCCTAACCACAAATCCTGTATCCGCCCCTGTGAATTACGAGGTGCATAATATATTTACTTCCATAAAGAGAATCTGTAAAAATGTACGTGTTTTTCATATTTAATATAATATGTTCTACGGTGCGACCGTTGGGGCGAGCGCAGTTATTTACAATCAAAAACATGCATTTACACAACTTTGACTTGCACTGCCTATCTTCAGTTCATTAAAAAAGAAGAAAAGAATTTTTTTAAAAAAAAAATCACTTCCCAGGCATCGGGATCGAGATTCCGAACTTTTCGGAAGTTTCCGACAAAATCGGAAATACCCGAGCTTTTAAGTGACGAACGTATGATGTCAAATAAAAAGTCCTGTTGAGTTAGAATGCAAACGATAGTTTTGTGGCATGGAGATTGCATTAAATCGTTGTTTGTAATTTTTTTCAAGTAAGTTGTTGCTATGTTTTAGCCACCATGTTGCTATGCACCGCAAAGGATTATTGGGAGTTTGGAATTTTTTCACGCGGTGAGATAAAAATTTCTTGGAACAATGTGCAGATTTAAACTCGAATATCCTCAGTGTACACGTTAGTCTATTGAGCTCGCTACGCGAGCGGCGCTTCGCGCCGCCTCGCTGCGCTCGCTATAAAGTTATTTATCATTTACTATCGAAAAAACGACAATCGGAGTTCCTCGGATGACTCGTACCTCGCACGAATGGAGCGTAGCGGAGTCAGCCGAGGATTGCCGATTGAAAAAACGACAGGCCCCTTTTTTTAGAACATCGAATTTTACTTCTCGGATAAAAACGTACTCTGCACAGTTCGTGTTTTATATTCTAAAATTGAAAATTAATACATTTTTAAATATAAATGATGCGTGTGTCTAACTTCAGTTTATACATTTACTTGAGGAATTGATCAAGTTTAAAATGGTATCGTTTTTTTTTTTATTTTTATCCGACTACAAGTTTTTTTAAAAATTGCGACTATCGTCTCCATCAATTAGACGCATGCCTTTTTA